CACTTATTTTTACCACAAATGTCCCTAAATTTCTTTGGAGAGAGGCTATCCTCACTACGTAGATATCTTATCAACTGGATGCCCTCCCGTATACTTCAGTTCAAAACACCTTATGACTCTCTCTTTCAAGCCTTCCCAACATCACACATCCTTCACACAATTCTGTTTAAAGTCTTTGACTGATCTGCCTATGTTCACATTTACAGTCACTTTAGAGGGAAACTCGATCCTAGAGCCCTCAAATGTGTTTTTATCGGGTATTCTACTTCTCAAAAAGGTTACAAATGCTTTTGTCCAGTAACCCGCCAGTTCTATAACACTATGAATGTCACTTTTTTTGAAAACCGACTCTTTTATCCCACTCTTGATATTCAGGGAGAGACATCTGAAACTCAAGAATATCAATTGTGGGATGTGAATATACTTCCACTAACAGACTCCATTGACAACTTCAGAAAAAGAACATGTCCATAAAACCACCAAAGAACCTGAACCTACCACAGAGACTGATAGCAAATTATCTGCAGTTAGTAAGTTACGTGTATATACCAGGAGGAACAAAACTTAAGTTAAAGATAAAGTACCTGAACCAACTATACACTGTCATGACTCAACTCCTAGACCAAGCACCCAGAATAACACAGTTAATAAGATCTCTGACTAAACTGATGATATTAATTTACCTATTACTTTACGAAAGGGTGTTCGTTCTTGTACTATGCATCCCATACAGGATTATATCTCTTATGGCAAGCTGTCTTCAAAGTACCATGCACTTGTGAGTAAGTTTGACAGTACTCTTCCTGAACCAAGAACAGTTCATGAAACTCTCAAGATTCCTGTATGGAATGCTGCTATCCAAGAAGAAATTTCAGCCCTTGAGAAAAATTGGACATGGGAGTTATCTGATCTACCTCCAGGGAAGGCTCCTGTAGGATGCAAGTGGATCTTCACTACTAAGTACAATTCTGATGGTAGTGTAAGCCGCTATAAAGCACGACTTGTCGCTAAAAGGTTTACTCAATCATATAGAATCGACTATCAAGAGACATTTGCTCCTGTTGCCAAGTACAATACAATTCGGGTATTATTCTCTTTGGTATCTAATCTTGATTGGCCTCTCTACCAACTTGATGTGAAAAATGTTTTCCTTAATGGTGATCTAGAGGAAGAAGTGTATATAAAAGTCCCACCTGAACTCGAAATGAATCTCCAAAAGGTGTGGAAACTAAAAAAGACATTGTATGGTCTCAAACAGTCTCCAAAGGCATGGTTTGACAGATTCACCAGGGCAGTGAAACATATGAGATATGAACAATGTCACTCCGATCACACTCTGTTTGTCAAGCATTGTACCAGATGAAGAAGAACTATGCTAATTGTCTATGTGGATGATATTATCCTAACAGGTAATCATAGTGAAGAAATTCAAAAATTGAAAGATTTTCTATCTAGAGAATTTGAAATAAAAAACCTTGGGATACTCAAGTATTTTCTTGGAATTGAAGTTGGCAGATCCAAGAAGGGAATTTCTATATATCAGCGGAAGTACATCTTAGATCTCCTAGATGAGGCAAGTATGCTTGGTTGTAAACCTACAGAGATTCATATGTAAATAAATGCTAAACTTGGTTCCAAAAATGACAGTAAACCTGTTGATAAAGAGAGGTATCAAAGACTTGTAAGCAAACTTATCCACTTGGCTCACAAAAGACCTGACATCAGTTTTGCTGTTAGTCTGTGAGTCAGTTCATGTCTCAACCTACTGAAAAACACATGAGTGCTGTCTATCGTATTCTGAGATATCTAAAGATGACACCTGATCAGGGATTATTCTTTCAGAAAACTATGATCAGAGATATTGAGATTATATTGATGCTGATTGGGCTAGATCTATGAAAGATAAGAGATCCACATCTGGTTATTGCTCTTATGTTTGGGGTAATTTAGTCACTTGGCGCAGCAAGAAACAATCTATTGTGTCAAGGAGCAGCGCTGAATCTGAATTACGATCACTTGCACATGGCATATGTGAAGGAGTATGGTTTTAAAAAGATCCTACTTGAACTAAGATTTTCTGCTCCCACTGCAATGAGGATCTGGTGTGACATCAATCAATTATTAGCATGGCCAAGATTCCTGTCCACCATGACAGAACTAAACATGTTGAGATTGATCGTCACTTCATTATAGAGAAATTGAAAGTCAAGATGTATCACTTC